ATGACAATAATCAGCATCATAATCGTCAGCCCCGCTATCATTATTTCCCCCAAACCCTGGCGCCCCCAAAATTGGACTCAGGTGATGCACCATTAGCAACACAAGCGCAGACTTGCAGCAACACCGGCATGGTATTTTCAGAAAAAGAAATTCCGCAGCAGGCACAAGCAAATTCTAACTTGAGGTTACATTCTTATAAAAGAGAGGCGCAAGCTACCTCGTCAGATAAGCTTATGGAAGGGGAAGGGAAAGAGGAAGGATCAAATATTAATCTCTTCCATAATCCAACTACTTCATCGTTGTTAAATCATCTTATTAACGAGAAAGGAAATCCAACTCCTACCATTACTAGTATCCCTAGTATTCCCAAAACTCCTACTGCCACCAAAAAATTAATCCGATCAACCAAGTCATACGATAGATTTATTCTCAGATCAAAGGAAAAATCTTTCTTTCATTTTCATTCTCATCCAAGTAATTCTCAGCAACAACAAGATCAACAACAGCAACCACAGTCCAGTCATAATAAGAAATCGATATCAACGTCTGCTTCATGTTCGAATCTACAAAAGATGGTCGAATTTACCGATAACGTCGAACAATTAATTCGCGAAACGGATGAAGCATTCCAAGCAGTTGGATTTGCTTTAGGTGATGCAAAAGCTGCCACTCGAGGATTTCAGCCATTCGAAAATAGCAAAGCAGCCAGGATAACCGGTATGAGTGTTAATGATATGAACAATATGAATATCAAGAATATCAACAATACCATCGTTACCCGCCAAAACCGATCGACCTACTCGAGTAAACCTCTCGCACGGACCAATTCAATCTCGAAGCGCAATCAAATGCAGAATTCCAACTTTTTGAAAGAACGTCCATCTTCAACCAGTCTCTCGGGAAAATCCCCCGTGCCAAAATCTTCATTCAATACAAAAGCAAAGAAGTCGATTTCTCCTAAACAAAAGAAAAGTACTACTTCGGATAAGGCTTCGAGGAAGAGTTTACCGCATCCGCATTCAAGTGCAAGATGGAACTTGGGAGATGTCACAGCCAGTATGGCTGATGTTTTCAAAGGAAAATTCACCAGACTGGAAGCCGATGAAATGTTGACTCCGGATAGATTACAGCAGCTAGAGGAAAAGGCGGAAAAGGCAAAGTTAGATAATGAACGAAAAGCTTCATTGGAAAATGCTCAAAATGAAGCCGCTCGCAATGTCGACACAGTCAAAGATGCGGATGGGATTACTTCAGCGGGACATTCACGGAAAATAGATGCGGATAAGAAGCTTGATACGAACAACATATCGTCGGATAGCCCAAATAATGTATCACCGACCGAACCCTTTCATTTGGAACATTTATTACCTCGCATCAACAATGACAAGGACAAAATATCCAATTCAACCCGAATTCTTGGTTCTTCTTCACCACTACCATTTACATCGTCAGATATATCCGAATCTTTGGAAAATGACCACCAAAGAGGTCGAAGAGCATTATCCGATGTGTCAAATCCCGATTATGCCGAAATCGATGCTATCGAACAAGCATTCGAAGATCTCAACTTCCCCTCTCCACCCCGCGATTCTCCACATTCTCCACCTAGACTCCCACGAAGTCGTTCCAACACAGGAATGACAAGTCTCCTACCCACCATTCCCGAAATCTCTCCCCTGAACATCTTAGCCCCACGAACCCCTCAACGATCCTTCTCGCAAGATTCGGAATATTCCCAAGACTCAAGTACATCCTCTGTAGACTACATTCAATTACCCTCCACACCATATACCCTCACATCCCCACTTTTCCGCCACGGTCCCATTCGTCTCGAACATGTCTATCATCGCTCTAATCGCGATTCTCTCTCTGCGCCCGAGTTTGAAGAAGCACTCGATTGGACCGCATTCCAGATGGCAATTTCAGGCACAATGGACGATGGTACATTAGGCGCTAGCGAAGAAAGCATCTGGGAAGCAGATGAAGCGGAAGTTGATAGTATTTTCGATTGGTGGAGCGGATTCGGATATCCTGGAATCGGTCGTTTAGTCAAAGAAGCACCTGTTTCACGACGCAAGAGAGGAAAGTCCCTCGCGACTCCCGATGCGGAAAAGAGTCCTCGGAAAAACAAAGATGGAAGGGATAATCGCGCGACGACTATCGGACTTGGACTGGGCTTTGGTACTCCTAGTGAAAGCAGTAGTGGCAGACCTAGAACCCCAGAATATCAAGGCGGGCTGTGGGTAGAAACGACCCGGGATAGTGCGCCACAAGTAGTGGAGTCCATATCTGGACCTACCTTAGCAGCTAGGAGAGATGTGGCACTCAAAGTGAATGTTCCAGAGCCGAAAATTGATGATGATGATAATGATTCGCTACCACCTTCGCCGATTAACTTGGTTAAAATTAAGGATGAATATATTCCCATGGGATACAACTTGGGACATGATTTGGGGGATTTTTTGAACTGGGAAACGTATCATGTGCAGAGTCTTTTTGGAGAGGACGAGGGAAGAAATTATATGTAATTCCTGGAGGGTTCAAGAGAAGGAGAGAAGAGCGTCATGGAAGTGGATTTAATGGCTGAATGTTTAACGGCCTTGGAGTTATAATTTTGGATACGGAAATGGAAATGGAACACGGAAACGAAATCCATGGAATTGGGATTGGGAATATATATTGTGCAATGCATATATGGCTTATGAGAAACGGACGGAAATGGACATGAGAAAGGAACTTCATGTGGAAATGGATAAAGAATATCTAGTAATCTTGAGATAGTACATTAATATCAAAACCAGCATATCTTATATACGTTTTAAGAGAAATTATTTTATTGAGTGTTTAGATGTTTGAGAGGAGGTGGTGCATTTCATGATTTTGTGGAAATAATGGAAGAGTGAAAGTACACTTTACTTGAGGTAAAGCAAGAGACTCCCCGGTCGTGTATTCGCGTGAGATATCGACAGATGGGTACCGAAGCATGATAGCTCTGTTATAGACAGAAATCGGGTTTGGTCGTCCCGCCTTCTGAACGTGTCTTGGAAGTTAATAGATCTTTGAAATATCTGGGTGTATTCTTCGGTTCCCAAAATATGTGGCGATGTAGGTATGGTTTGAGGAGGATGGAGGTGCATGTAGAGGGAATAAGGATGTGGATGAAATGTTTCCTTCTCTTTAGCTCTCGATATTTTCCTGGTTTCGTGGAAACTTCTTAATTGCTCGATACTACCTCCCTTTTCACTCTTCTTTTGCGATACCTCGATGGCTTCCGCCGATCATCCTCCTCTTCTTTAGGTTGGATGTATGGACGAGTAGGTTTGGATTTCAAATGGGCAGATAAACAGAGCTTGAAACTGTTAAGAAGTTCATCGGATATGGGTAACCAAATGGTATAGCTTTTATTATACGTCTTTTTATCCAGGCATCTATCTGATGATTCGACTCGAGAATTAACGATAGGAAACTACCCACGGGACAACAACGCATCTCTCCTGTATTTGAACCATCCCTTATGAATGAGGAGACTGATGATAAATTTCAATATAAACACATATTATCTGAAGCTTTGAACGATCAATCGAAAAGACATCCCATTCAAATGAAAGTTTTCAGTATATCTTGTCCTCCCTCTCCTACTGGGTGAGTGTCTGGAAGATGATAATTGCAAACTACTTGGCCAGTGTTTTAAGCTGACGATTCAGGAATTCCAACTTCAACTCGCACAGTCGGATATTCGCACCTGATGCTTGGATACATCAAGTGTTCCAAAGAGTAGATTGCATATAATAATAACGATCAACGAATCCAAATAAAGACAACCATTTGATGATAATTTGGGTGTATGTCACGTGTCCATCACAAAAGCAGATGCGTTAATGCAAACGGAATCAACATCAACCCAATTTTGTACTCTTCTAAAGAGAACGACACGAACAATTCTTCCATGCCCAGGCGAGCATAACAAATTGCATAATTAAAAACTTTCCGCCGAATTCGGCGGAAAGAAAAGAGTGAAAAAATCAGATAATAATGGCCCAACAATTGGATCTGACTCGCGGGTAGAAAAACGATGATTTGCCGCATGGCAGAACTCTCCGAAGCGGGGCAGTGTATGTACCGATGCATTGAATGTACGAAGTACCTACGAGCCTACCTACGAAGTGCTACCTGGAAATCTGTTCGGAGAACGGACATGTCTCTGATCTTGAATGCATCTCGGACTTCGGGGCTCCTACTCGTACGTTTTGGAAGTTAGCATACACAGCATTCGGATATCAAGGGGTGAATAGCGAACTCTCTGATGAAGGGGTAAATATTAACTTTTTCCCAACAAGATCAATCGCCCAGGTAATACTTGTCGGAAGCTACACAGCATGGATCTATACATACCTAGGTACGATAGGATATAACTTTGAATCAGCCGAGTCGACCTTAACTCCTACGTCGTAAGTAGAAGCGGATGTTTTTCCTCAAGTAGCCATTTTATGATATTGTGTGGAACATTTTCCTCCTTCGTTGTCAAGGTGGCGGCTTTGGCGGGGTATTTTTCTGAACATTGATATACGTCCGACAACCTCGGCATAGAAAACGATGGGCAAAAACAGAATCTCGTACCCACATTCTTCAACAAAAGCTTACCAATTCACACAAACCTCAAGTCATGTCTCGTTCACGCAATCAAAAACGGAGATTTCGTTTCAATGGAGAGCAGATGTCCTTGAAAGGCGACGAATAAGAAGATGTATCTGATACAGTGACCCTGAAAGGTAGGTAGTCTTTTTAGAATGTTCTACAAAACTTGCATGGTTTGAGCTTGGATGAAGACGTTTACTAGGCAGGAACGTCATACCTGAGAAAAATTCATTCACAAAGACTATTCATATATATCTATCTCTCTGTCCCCCCTTCATTCCCTTTGGCTATATTCAATTGCTTTTTCTTTGACAATCTCACACTACAACAATATATCTACATCTACATAAATCAAACCAGCAAAAATGGTTCAAAACAAAGGTCTTATCTTCAAGCAAGTTCCTCAGGGAGTTCCTGTTGCAGGAAAGGATCTGGTAGTTGAGACTCGTGAATTCGATCTTGACCAAGCACCACCCGCTGGAGGTATCACAACCAAGAACTTCTATGCCTCCTTCGATCCTTACCAACGTGGACGCATGAGAGCTGCAGAAGCCAAGTCCTACTCCCCAGCTTTCCCATTGGGACAACCTATCAACAACAACACTGTTGCCAAAGTTATCAAGTCAGACAACCCTAAATTCCAACCAGGAGATCTCCTCACCGGTTTCATCTGGACTGAAGAGTACTCTGCTCTTCCAAAACAACTCGCAGATGGCGCAGCAAAAATCGAGAACCCATATAACTTGGACGTAAAGCATTTCCTTGGAGCACTGGGCAGTAAGTCATTTTGATGCCCTTCACACCCCGAAGCATACTAACGTTCTTCTCACTTAGTGCCCGGATTGACCGCATACTCCTCATTCTACGAAATCGGCAAGCCTGTCAAGGGCGAGACCATCTTCATCTCCTCCGCATCCGGAGCCGTTGGAGCCCTCGTTGGACAACTCGCTAAGCACGAAGGCCTCACAGTCATCGGATCCGTTGGTTCTGATGAAAAATTAGACTACATCATCAACGAATTGAAGTTCGACGGTGGTTTCAACTACAAGACAGAGAAGCCAGCAGATGCTCTCAAGCGTCTTGCACCAAACGGCATCGATATCTACTACGAGAATGTCGGAGCAGAACAATTAGAAGCTGCTATCAACGCAATGAACGATCACGGTAGAATCGTCGCGTGCGGTATGATTAGCGAGTACAGCAAACCAGAAGCCGAGAGATACCCCATCAAGAACTTGATGAACATTGTTGCAAAGAGAATCACCATGAGAGGTTTCATCGTTTCTGATGCTAACATGGGCCCATTGCATGTCAAGGCAAGAGACGAGAATGTTGCCAAGTGGTTGGCGGATGGAAGCTTCAAGGCTTCTTTGAGTGTTACTGACGGAATCGATAATGGACCAGAGGGATTCATTGGTATGCTTGGAGGAAAGAACTTTGGAAAGGCGGTCCTGAAGATTGCTGATTCCGAGGTGAGTTTTATTCATTGAGTCAATCTTGAAGTGCGGCGCTAATATATTTTTCAGTAAACAACATATATATAATGGGCTAGAAAAGTCATGAAGTAGTAATTTAAAAATATATACCCAAGTGCAAATACATGTTCCTATGAATCTCCTCTTCTCCGCAAATATCGTTCCGCGTAAGAGATCAAACAGAGCTCGTGAAGTCCCTCGAAGCTTTATCTTCTTGTGTTTGAATGTATCCAGATCTTTTGAATAAGTATTCATTCTCTCATACACACTCCCAAAGTCAAACACTTGATGCTCTCGTCGAAGCCAAATATAATCTCAGCGTTTTGCTGCATCCCACCACAAATCCTCGAACTATATCATCATCTGAAAACAAAGCTGTCTGCATCTCTTTACTATTTCAAAAGTGGTTGAAAGACAAAGTATCGCAATAAAGTCAATTATCATCTATTCGACTGTTCGTCCGTCTGGCAAAACTTTGAATTCAATTAACAATCACGCACACATATCCAACCAACCATGAATTCCAGATTTTCAGTACCACAATTGCATTCATTCTTTATCTCCCCTTACTACATCGTCTTAACAATCAATATTTATATTAATCAATATTTCTATAACTGCAATACCATTCATTCATTCATTCATCCATCCATCCATCCACATATTCAATCTACACCAAAACATAACTTCACACTCCAATGTATTTAAAATCCACCACCACCCACCAACCCACGATGCACAAAATTCTCACCGCTCGGACTACACCTTTCCACCCACCCCACAGCCCTAAATTATCCATCGCCTACCCACCACCTATCCACCCATTACCCACAACACTCACTGTCGAATTACCTAAAAATTGGGGCGGGGAATATCTTTCCCAGTGCGTTGTTTCATTCGTGAATTGTCTTGTCTGCTTGAGTCCTCGAAAATAAGTGATTCGAGAAGGTGGTAAAATTTGAGCAAAATAGTTTTATTTTGCAAAAAGGTCATTCACCGCTGAGGGAAAGTTTTGATTGCCCGTTCTAGGAATCGAACCTAGGATCTCATCATGACAATGTTTGATACAAGTACTAGTGATGCGCTTTACCGCTAAGCCAAACGGGCGTTTTTTATGGTTGTTGTTGAGGCCGAGAATGCTTCGTGGGAATATCAAACTACAGATGCGGATGCGTTGTGGATTTTACCATCTGAGGTGGGATGCTGGGATGTTGCATGGTTCTAGTGAATGCGTAGATTAGATGGGAAATTTGTCGATACCTACCTAGGTATCGAAATGTGATGAGTTTGGATTTCTCAGTTAAAAACTCGTTCTCGGGCTTCGACTCGATGCTGTGCAGAGAACAGTGAATGGGCTGCATGTTAGTACTTTTGTTATTATAAGTCAGTTTCCGTTGTTGGTGTACTGTAAGTGAGAATTCGGGTTATGCTAGAGGTCAAGAATTGAAAGCTAGCTGGGATGGAATTATATATATCGTCGTCAAGGTCTGATTACTATGCGAATTGTCTTAACGGATCGGATGAGATATAAGATGACAAGTCTGAAGGGATAAATTATAGTGTCTTATATGATGTGAAATTTGGCCGACATAAACAACGAGCTGAACTGGAATCTTACATGGGTATCAGCCATGCGGCGAAACAAGATGAATGGTTCTGGGAACGTATCAGAAATAATCGTGCTGAACTCTTTGAGTGATCGGTGGCACGATATCCAACAGCAATATTTTATTTTAACGCAGTGGTAACGGATCTATGTCGTCATGAGCGGTGATTTTGGTCCTGGAACGCCTGCCTTTATGCTTTTTGCCTGGTTCTAACTCAAAAAATATACTCCAATCAAGCGTGTCCTAGAAAGTACAGCTCAGTGCATCCAAGATCTGCATTCCATATTCATGCGCGTAAGAGTTTATTTAAAGATCGATCGAAATATTATCTTGTCAATGTATTCCTAATCTGATGGAAATAATCAATCTCCGGTATAGCAAGCTCCGAAAAGTTTCTTTTCAGGTAGAAATTGCAGTGGTCTTATTATCTGTGGTGAATCTAACCCTCGTTTAATAATTGCTAGCTCATTTTTCTTTACAAAGATAAATTCGTCCTTAGCTGACAAGTAAAACTGCATTTCGTCTGTAGGATGAATCCAATCGGCTGGAATGAAGAAATGGCGTTTCACATCCGGGGACAACCAGAACTTCTCTATATTTAGACTACAGACCCAAAGATCAGTTGCTAAGAAGAACAAATCTGTGCTGCTCAAACCAATGATGTGGTAGATATATGGACCAAGAGATTCAAGTCCGTTGAATTTTTTTACAGTAGTCGAGTGGCGGTCAATGATGGACGTGTCCCAACATCGAAGTTGAGAAGGTGTTTGTTCAAATCGACTTTTCGTCAGTGTAACCAGGGTGTATTGGCTTTCGACCGACTCGGTTATTGTCACTGGGGATGACGCCACGTCAGGAACGTCAAGATTAATGCCACCAGGGCCTGATATCTCTTCCAAACTTCCCCATTCGAATATTCGGGCACAATTGGGATAAAACGCAATGAATGCATCTGGTATTTGGGTGTGAGTATTTATCTTGTAATTGTCAAGATTATGGCCAGTGGGCACACGATGTTGAATACCTCCACTTTCGCTTGTCCAAATGTACATGAAGCCGGCAGTAGTGATGAGAAGGATATTGTTCCCAGGATTGAACGATAGCCCTGTGAGAGCATCGGGGAAGCGGTAGTCGAAAATCATTTCAGACAGTGACCATATATCACTAGAATCCACAAGTCTTTGTATAAGCATACGACCAGACTCGTCCGCTGTAGCCAGCATGCGAGTATTATCTCCCCACACAATTCTGTTAACTGAAATATTCGTAGCATGTTGGTAGAGACATGTGTTCTCGAGGCCATCTTGCGTATTGTAGACAGCAACAGAGCCATCCTGCCTACCGCAGAAAACCCATTCCCCATTCGAATCTACTGCAATTGCTGTTATATTAGGCTTCAGGCTTCCTTCGATCATTCCCACAGTCTGAACTATCGCTTTTGCTGGCGCACTTATATCGCTGTTATTACCGTCACCCAATGACTTCCTCACAAGTGCAGCGGGTTCCCATACTCTGCAATGGGAACCACGAATGTCAATGAAACGTAAACCGTCACCACTGAAAACTAGCGATCGGATTCCTTCATCGTATGCATTGATTCGGTATATCAGAGATAAATTTGCATCTTCCGTGCCGTCAAATTCATAGAGCTGAATCGTACCGAAAGAACTACCTGTTGCCAATGTTCTTTCATCAGGTGAGCAGGCCAAAGTTTGCGCATTTACTTCTGGTATACGATGCTTGAGCTCAGTTGTTGTTGGGTCAAAGATTACAAGCTCTCTGTCCCCATAAGAGACGACTAATAAGTTGATATCGGGATTCGGATTGAAAGCCATGGCTGATGCGTGATAGTAAGTACCGCCTACACTTTCCATAAGCCCTCGATCTCGGACAAGTTCACCACACAAAACTTCGTTATACAGATCAAACAGAAGTATAGGGCTTGCTCTGGAGCTAATTGCTATCATCTCTAGACCTGGTGCGATGAGAACCTCTGCTGGTGGCTGGTAGATTGTCTCCCGCCCTTTAAGATGAATTTCATGCCAGAATACGCGGTCTTTCTCTTTCTCTTTCAATACATCAAACCAACAAATGAAATTCTCAGAAGTTGCCACTATTAATCCATAGTTTGCAGGGGTGAACATAAGGGCCATTGTTCGACAATCGAGCTGGAATGAACACTTCACCCCGCCTGTTTCGAGATCCCAAATTTGTATTGAGCGTATTCCGGCGGATGCAAGCAATTGATCTATGGTCTCAAAGGTGAGGAACTTCACTTTCTCTCCGTGATCAAAGGCAAATTTAACTTGACTTGTTGCAGTGTCGTACACTATTATTCGACCGCCTGATAGCCCAACAGCAAACGTATAGTCTCCACGTGTGAGTGTGATAGCTTGTAGGCCCTGCCCCTTGTAATCGATTTGAGTCATCCCATGTACCTCTTGATAACCCTATGACATTCAAGCCATGCTTCAATTGCTTGTGTTTTGTAGCGATGATTGATTGCGAATGGCACATCCATGCAATCTGGCCATGGATTGATGAAGGCGATGCTAGGAGGATGTTTCGAAATTTTGTGCTGATGCGAATAAGATCTGTGATCCAAAATTCTACCTCGCGGAGGTCCTCGCCGATAGGAGGGAAATACTTCTGACGGCGATCGAGATAGGCTCTCATGTTTTTGGCGGCACGGCTTATATAGTTTACATTGCCTATTCTTGCAACGGTCTTAATCCACCATAAAACATTCGTGTCAAGGAATTTGTGGAGCTTCTGAAAAAGCTCGGCACGCGAAGACGGAGCTTGATACAGGTGCTCAGAGAAGAAAGTGCAAGCGTAGTCAAGTAATATGGCTTCGTGATTTGCTGAAGATGTCGATACTTCAAATCGTTTCAACCGAAAGGCCCGTATATAACCTTTACTTAACATGTCAAGGAACAGAGAAGCAAGTCGATAGTGTCCTTCCCTTCTGTCCACAAAAAAATAGGAACATATGTCTTTTTGTAGGAGAAAATCTTTGGCACTTTGATGGATTAGGTGTATACGTGACTGTTGATCGACGAACACAAGTTGTCCGCAGATAGAGTTAATGTCTCTTCGTAAATTGTTAACTGTGCTTTTGGAATCTAGCTTCAGAGCACATTGCATCTCGGTAACAGTCAATTGTCGATAGGAGCAAACAACCCACATGAAGATAATCTTGGCCAATTTTGCCCCTTTCCGGTCTTTTGACAAATTTTCCAGAATTTTTGTATAGAATTGATTCATATCCGCTGGTATATCTGAGAGAACTGTCTCAATATCTTCTTTGGTGTAGATTTCAGAGAGTTCTTGCATGACAAGTCGCACCCAAAGAAAAGACCCGGAAGACATAGCTAAAATCCGCTCGGTCAACTCCTCCTGTTTTGAGAGCGTGTCCAAGGGAAGGCTATCCATATGAGCTTCCAAGAATAGTTTGACATCTCCCATCGTATCTGAGGCAAAAATTTCTTGGCTGATTAAACTTTTACCAAAGCCGAGAAATCCCTTATCTAAAATCTGGCTGTGGCGGCTTGTAATGAAGATCCAAATCAGAGATCTGGGAGAATTAATGAGCTTGATTAACATAGGAAAAAGAGCTTGGGAACGCGTACACTCATCGAGCGCATCGATAACCCAATATTGGTGCACCTTCATCGCAATTTGAAGAATCCCGTTCACAAATAATTTGTTCCAGATCACAATCTCGTCGTTGTTGTTGTTGTTGTTCGTAATGCCATTTGATTCCATGTCTAAGAGAAATTTGCGAATTTGAGGACTATGTAAGGCCATCTGATACGCGAGAGTACGCAAACAATAGCCAATCGATGAATCAGCAGCCACTCCATCCTTGAAAAAAAAGTAACTATATGCAAGATTACTTTGATCCAGATGGTCAATAACATGTCCAGTGAGAACGGACTTTCCCGATGCGGGATTCCCACTCAGCCAATAGACTGAAGGCGAGTCGGAAGTAGGATCTTGCCAGCTGGTAAAGTTTGGAGTCGTGATCAGCCAATTGCATGAGCCTTCAACTCTTGCGTCACGGGCTACTATTCGATCTTCCTCTTGAACATCGTGGATACCTAATAGGCCATGAAGACGATGTCGCTCGGCTGATGTAGTCTCGCACTGGATCCTCAAAGCTTCAATCATAAATCAGTAAGAAAAGAGTTTTAAGGTGATGGACTAGCTTACTCTCTGCTGTGGCATGATCGACAGTCGAACTAAGTGCGTTTTTAAGAGTCTTAAAATTAGGGTCTGAAGGCAAATCAAATTTGCATATTCCTCGATGATCAGCATTAATGTAAGCAATTCTTTCCTTTGGCCATTCCAGCGTCGCAGATTCTTTCTCGACAATTCTTGCATTTATGAAACTCGTCTCTTGATTTTCATAGAAAGACCATATATGCAAGTTTTCAGAGTAGTGACGGAAGCTTTGGTTAATAGTGCCTATCATCTTACTATTCATCTCTAAGTCGGTCGTAAATTGCTTGGTTCCAAACGATACGCGCAGAATATTGTTGAGTGTCGTGGCAAGATTCGATCCTCGGTGTGGAGTGGCCAGAAAGTACATGGTGTCAACCCGCTGAACAAGATCATGCATCGTAGGATCTTCTATAGCCAGTAAATATGTCTAGATTGGTCAACTTGTGAAAAACTATCGCGTCGGGTATTATTCACCTTCTTTATGACCAAGCCACCCATGCTGTGAGCAACAAAAATAATTTTTGTCTAAGGAATGGTCTTAGCAAGATATTTTGGAACCAAGTTAAGAGATCCTACGTTACTCCTGCGGATTTCTGGACAAGTGTTGATTTCTCCTAGAAGCGATTGCGCGAAGTCGTTAACATCAAGCGAATTCCCATTTCTTTCCGCCCAATCTGCTCTGTATCCGAATGAAAAAATTCTGACGTTCTTGAAATCCGGATCTCGAGGCAGCCATTCTTTTGGCCAGTAATGGTATGCATCCTCTGATTTCGACCATGTCTTCCTAGATCCGCCCCCCAATCCATGGACAAATATGAGATCTATCAGCGGTTCTGACGGTGTATGAAGTAGATTGAGTCCCAAGGGACCCTTTAGATCAGCCACTGTCTCGTGAGATGCTTTAATAGTATGGCGAAATGACGCTCCTTTCAGCGCTCGATCGATATATTCCAGACCATGACTGCCTGGATGATGCTTCAGGAACTGTCGAAGAGTGGTGAGTGGTGGGTCGAAATGGGTTTGTGCTGGATTGATCACAAACCTGGTCCATTTCGCTTTAATCAACATTACACGTTGAATACTCCTAGTACTTCACATACTAGATCATTCAGCGTAAGGCTAGAACTATACCTGAGATGATGGGGACTTATCAGATGGTTCAAATTTACTTGGTATAGTCTAGCGTCAGGATTAAATGTGTTAAAAATATTGTTCAAATTCGAAGTGCTCGAGTTTAGTACAAGAGTTCGAAAGCGCTATTGCGTGTGGCAATTCGAAAGCATTGCAGACTGCGGGAGAATAAAGGGCAAAGGGTCAACTGCTTGACTATCGAGGATCCCATAAGCTTGATTGCCATAACGATAGCGCAGTGATACTCAAACGCGACTCAGTTCCACACGCGCCGACTCATGATTGGGTAGTCAGCGAGGGTCAGCAACTCCAAAACTGTAACATCAACCCGCCGATATTGATTTGTTCTCGGCGAACGAGACTCAAACGTGAGGTGATACCACAGGTAGTGCTGCGGGTGAATGCATAGTAGCTATTCTTACATGTGATCTGGAGTCGAATGCTTGCTTGAGGCGTACCTCAATAGGAAGTTCTCTACCCACCCCGGTCGAAGAACCATCGAAAGAAAAGAAAATGGGCATTCTATCGAAGAATGCTAGCCCTGTTCCTTAATTGGTGGCTCTATTTGTCTGCGTTAGATCCATCAGAGTCACATGGAGTTCACGCTTCGTGTTCTCTTGCCCATGGGTGCAGCTAAGTCATCCTGATCTTATCATAGCGCTGTCTTTAGAAGGTGGTTGGGATAACATGTCAAGGAAAAACGATGATATCGAAGTTCAATACGTTATTTGAATTTGAATTGATATCTGGCATGTTTAGCGGTGCCAAGTAATAAGGGGAGGGGAGAAGAGGGGTGCTGAGGGGTAAAGAGAGACCAGCGCGCGGAAGTAAGTGAGTGGGGAACGGGGGACAGGGAGTCAGTCACGTGTGATAGAGGAAGGTTGCAGTGCCAAACCACCTCCCCGCGTTTCCTTCTTTGCCCCGTATTTGACGTCTATCAATGCAATATTATTGAATTTCGACATATATCTTCAGATCCTAGAGCCTTTTATCCAAAAACGTTGTCTTGCATATTGACTTGAAGGATTACGAATGCACTGCATGGTTCGAATGCGCAGCTAGGAATATGATTGGATGTCAAATTTGCTGTGCCTCCCCTGAAGTTGTGTCGAGTTCAACGCATTCTGCATGTAACCGCCAAACAGGACCACCTTTCCTCTATATCTCGCCACTCAATCCTCGGACGATTAAGGAAATGAATAGAGGAGAAATTTTGGAAACTTTTTAATTACTACTATCATTCTTGTATTAGTGTTATCCTCACAATCAACATGGAACCCAGTTCAGCTCTTGGAAATGATCTAGATCCAAACATTCTCGCTGGTATGTTCATTCTTGCCTTCTGTATTGTGAATCTTCCAGAGCATGCCGTTCGATTTATCAGCATCTCATAGGAGCGTAAAGAAAACTTTAGATGTACAAATCCAAGCGGTACATCCCGAGGTCCTGTCGTTGGATCTCAGGGGCTGATGCAAATTGTACAAAATGAACCTAGACGATTCTACCAGAAAGTCTCATCAGGATACAGACAATCGGTTCAATTACATGAACTGGATTTGCGCATTTTGAGTATGGAGTCTTATTAGTATAAGATGTGAATGCTCATTGATTACCTCGATGCTGAGGTTTAGACACAATATGATATGAAAAATCAGCTGCCGAGCGAACGCAGTTAACATACTCATGCAGAGCTTCCCGAGGTGGAAAAAGTACTCCAAATATCTGGCTTGGGTGTCTCCGCATGGGCAACTAAATCTAGGATTTCAACGTTACTGAAAGATGGGACAAATCAAGACTACTATATGAAGGTATTCTTATGAACATTGCAAAATACTATACACTAATGAATGGTGAATTTGAGTCAATGAAGGCCATACAGAAAGTTATGCCTGGTTTTATAGCTCCACCGATCGCCCAAGGATCAATGAAGAACGAGCCAGACTGTCACTTCTATCTCGGCCGATATCTACCAATCATAGATGAATTGGTAGAGCCCAGTTTATTCTGTGAGCAAATTGCCAGACTACATAGAAACTCTGTCTCTCCGAAAGACAAATTTGGCTTCCACACAGTGACTTTCAATGGTGATCTCCCACAGAAAATTGACTATTCTGATAGTTGGGAAGCTTTTTTCGCAGATGGGTTTCGCCATATGTTAGAGATCAACACAGAACGTGCTGGACCGAGTGAGGAGCTAGAAGCTCTGCTCCCTGCCTTTTTCGAGAAGGTCATTCCTCGATTGCTTAGACCTTTGGAGGGAAGAATCGAGCCAAGTCTAGTTCGTAAGTCTTTCAGCTCTCAAATTCTCTATCATTGAACAATTTTCCGAAATCTGACCATTCCAAATTCATATAGACGGAGATATGTGGTATGGAAATGCCGGCGTCAATACCCTCGAAGACGAAGCTGTAATATTTGACCCTGGATGCTTCTATGCCCATAACGAATGTGAGTACAACTCACCCTAACTACAGGCTTTCTCCAAGACTTCATAACTACAACTAATTTGCTAACTGACACTCTGGTGTAGATGAGCTGGGCAACTGGCGACCAGAGCGTAATAAGTTCTCGAAAGCATATTTCAATGCGTATCATGCCTATATCCCGAAGACTTCGCCCGAAGAGGACTATGAAGATCGAATTGTTCTGTACTCGCTGCGCTTTAATCTGCATGCTGCAAGTCTCTTCCCTACAATTTTAGGATTTCGAGAGTCGTGAGTAAAGATTCTTTGGTGTCGCTTCGGCGACTCTTGACAGTAAACCCCTAATAAATGAAGTAGACTTATACAAGATATGAATTATTTGGTAGAGAAATATCCTGAAGGACTGTCGTCGGATTTCGAAGCGTGATATAGTTTCGCACTTACATCAGTTTTGGAAAATCCGCATCATTATGTCCGCAACACAATGTTAGACCACGAGGATTTGAGATCTCACGTCTAACATGAACTAACATATTACCCGAGAACCTTAAGTTTTCACTTCTTATCTATTCCAATCCCCAAATAGCTGAAGCCGTATTCTTGGTGTGCCAATACGGTGTCGCTTTTGAGTGTCCCAAACAAATACAAGCATTAATCTACCATTGTACCAGATTTATTCGGAGATTCATGTCGTGTTAACCCCCCAGACGCTTTTGAATAGTGAGACTTTGTTGGACGTAAATGTTCTACGATTTTCAACTCCATACCTATTAGGATGGTGGCAACGATTTTGAACATCGACCTCTTATACTCTCTGACTGATTCAATGATTTCTATCAAAACAAATACAAACAATGAAAACTTTTACTCTCTTCACAGATTTTAGTCAGATCATTTTCGAACACTCTCATATCAACATCATTTAGAAAAATTTACAGATATGTTAAGATTTTGCCATTCATAGATGTATATTGGAAGTATAAAGCACAGAACACGAAGAAATTCAAACTGCAATTATTGTGAGATTTCTAAGGTGTACTGAGCGCCCCGATATTAGAGCTCTTTAGAAGTGATTGGTTTGGGTTTCCCCTGCATCATATCACCTATGAACTATTCTCTCGACGATGTCTTAGATTGGTAAATCTCCCAGATAGTGTTATGTTAAAATTTTAAAGAATAATCGCTATTCAATCTTGCAATGAAGGTAATTTCCATAGCGGGTTCCAATATCTTCGTCACAATGAAGCGATCATGAGACACCGATGTAACTACAATCTAGGAACTTTTATCGCGATCAATATCATGAAAGTGTTTGATACTTAAGAGCTTTAGGAAATGTCAACTAGAATAATGGTTGATTGTAGCTGAATACATTATTCTTAGCTAGTCAATATGTTGGTTCCTACGTGAAGAGTTGAGGCTCTGGGTTTCACCTCGTGAACTATTTTCTGTATCATAGAACAAACAGGATATGCAATCTCCCCTTCTTCGCTTGTCCTCTTCTATCCTAAACCTTAAAATTCCTTATCATCTCTGAAAAAAATTCTATATCTCTTAAGCTACTCAATCCTCGAAAAAAGTATCTCTCCTCTCTTTCGGTTGAGGAAAGGAGGGGATATTGTACACGCTTAGAACAAAGAAGGGGAATAATTCATCGTGATTGTTTGTGGGAAGGAAGTCAAACTGTGTTTGGCTCTTCATATCAATGTGCGGATACTTCTAGTTCTCTCCTTGTTGAATCTCATCAATTTTCAGGCTTTTGAATCAACACGCGGTCGTCATCACCTTCACTCTAGAGTCCAAAACTTTCATAAGCTCCAATTCCAGACCGAGCTCATGAAATCTTTCGCTGATAACAGAGGACTATCTCTACTATTTTTCAGTCATGATTCTACTATTAATCCCAAGGAGCTTGATTTTCTACCGGCTCATCGAGTTCCTCGTCAAAAATATTAAAACCCAAATGTTTGCTTGGGTCTAAATATCTCACAGGTCCACTCTCAATGGTTGTCGCCAAATCATCAATGATCGCAAAGTGTTCCTCACTTAATGGCGCAATCCTGAGGTTCTCAGAGAGCCGGCTCTCATTAGAAGTCTTTGGAATTACCGAAGTGCCACGCTGGACCGCCCAGGATAAAATGACCTGTGCCGGGGTCATATCAGTTTGATCGGCAATCTGAGCAATCTATTATCGTTAGATCTATGTTATTTTTAGTAGAATCTAATTCAATATTCACCTTTGTATCAAAAAGAGGTCCAGGGATATCGGCATGGGGAGCCACCACTCCAACAGGTTTTCCTCCTAGCGGCTGATGGGCCATGAGATGGATGTGCTCTTTCTTGCAAAACTCAAGCAGCTCATGCTGGGGGAAGTAACTACGCATGAACGTCGTCAGTGCCCGACTGTCGTTGGAAGATGGACTTCAAAACTCACGGATGCGCCTCGACTTGGCTAACCGCGGGACGAATTCTCGCAACCTCCAAGATCCGTTTAGTCTTGAGGATATTGAAATTGGATAACCCTGAAGTTGTCAAATTTCATTCTGATTTACTAGAAAGATCCATATCCTACCGATGGCTTTCGCTTTACCACTATCCACTAGCTTCTCCATTGCTTGCCAAGTTTCTGTGTACTTGCGAGATCGTTCATAATCAATTACTGGCTTAAATTCACTTAGCGGTCATCAACTTTCATGGAAATGCGATAGACTTTACCTTTCCGTTGCCGCTGGGATGTCGGATCGTACCGTTATTTGGGCCTGGAAGGTAGGCATGGGGGACTGAGTATCAATCGTCAGTCCATGGTTCTTATAGTCTAGGGGACCTGATGATTACTGACAATGCATAAGATATAAATCAACTATTGTGACGTTAGTAGCTGAATCAGGTATACTCTCGATATGCATCACTTACCATATTCCAAGCCAAGAGCTTTCAAACTCAAATCTAACGCACGCTCGACGTCTTTAGGCTCATGCCAGGATTGAGCTCTTAACAAAATCAGCAGGCATCGCTTTTGTATCAATTCTTATGGACCTACAATTTAGTGGTGACAAACAACTCATCTCTCGAGATACTGCTTTCTTTAATAGCATCTCCAATAGCCTTTTCATTGCCATAAGCCGTTGCGCCATCGATATGACGATATCCAGCCTGGATCGCCGCCTTCACGATGTTCTTTACTTTTTCATTTCCATCATCGCCTTGAAAGGTTCCTAGGCCAATAGCTGGCAAGGTGCTGCCATTTACCAAACGGAAACCAGTGATAGGAGTTGCCATGATTCAGCCAGCAAGATAAATGATGTGGTTCAAGGTTGTTAGATGTGGTTGATGTTTGGGCAAGGTTCCATCAGCAGGTAGGTATGCTGGGCAATTAATCGATTGATGGACCGAAGACCGAGATCATTTCACAATACGTACATACCACTCTATCTCGAACTTGACGCTTCATTGGCCAATTAATCTCAAGTATTTCGACTTCATTCTTCATTGTCCAATCCAACATCGAGCATTTGAGCTTTCTTGTTCGACCGAATCTTAAGCTACGAGTTCTTATCTTACATTTCTCTTACCTAGGTATATAGGTATCTCTCGTCGTCTTTTGAGATCCACAATTATAACTTATTCAATGAACCGATGAATGTGTATCTACCTAGATGTTGAAAATATATGGATAGTGTACTTCGATTCGATATGATCACCCTCTACAAGTGATACATCGACTGGTGGTCACGAGAATATCTCAAGACCATCAAAGACGACATAAGTCCAACCCGATCAAGACCCGTGATAAATATAAACGGTGAAAAATAACAGGAAAAGTATCACACAAAAATTCGAAGGAGATATCCAACTTTGGAGCTTGAAGTCGCCAAATGACTCCAGGCCCGCTTAGTAATCTAGTCTAATTATTGGCTACATGACAAGGCGCGATTTTTTATTTTATCAATTCTAGCCTCGTGTATCGTCCCCCTCCAAAAATAATTTATTTCCCTCGAGAACAACCTTTCTACAATTGCACCACTCAAACAGCAACATCGATTCCCTACACAATTCCTCAATGTTACGTCAACACCGGTAGCACAATCTTCAGCTTCCAATTCGCACAACCATAATCCATCATGTCTTCACGAGCAGCTACCGCGGCGTCAGCGCCCGATGATAAAATCGCAGCCTTGAAAAAAGTCCTTTATGACGAGTGTTTTGAATCTTTCGAAGATAATCCTACCTTTTTCCAGGAAGATTTGTTCGAACTCAAAGTCCTACCTAATGATGATGTGGCTATGCTGTTGGCCGTCTGTCAGGGCCTCACAAATGATAAATTGTTCAAGGTGGTTCAGGATTCGCAGAGAGGAATTGGATGGAAATTGCGTACTCAAGAGGAAGCTAAGAAGTAGGAATTCCCTTTGCCTTTCACGCCTGATCTTGCAATCAAGCAAAATCAGAAGCGCCAGTTTATGATGTATGTACAATGCTAATTAGTTCCCGAACAATAGTTATCGCAGTCTTTCCTCGGAACAAGAAATTGTCTACGCTCTCATCGACGAAGCCGGTCAAGAAGGAATATGGACCAAAACCATCAAGGCTCGGTCCAATCTTCACGATGCAGTTTTTCGCACGGCGCTCAAGCACCTCGAGACCAAACACCTGATCTCAGAAATGAAATCTGTAGAGGCACGTAATAGGAAAATGTACATCAAATCCAGTCTGCAACCTTCCGATCGAGCCACTGGTGGAGCATGGTATACCGACAATGAACTAGACGAGGAGTTCATCACACAGATCTCGCATATCTTATTTGATCACATCCACAGGAAATCTTTCTATAAATCTAGTTCGGCGAGCTTGAGGAGGCCAAAGAAGGTTATGGGAAAGAAAATGTCTACGGATGAAGCAAAAGCATTGAGAGACAAAACTTTAGGATCCCGAGTCAAGATCGAAGACGTTACTGAGGACGATGCTATAGATGGGGCTAGAAGACACTACGATGCTCTATTACCTATGCCACCCGGCTACCAAGGATATCCAACCCTCAATGAACTCACATCGTTCATTGAGAATTCAGGAGCTACAGCTATGACTTTAACTGCTCAGGACATTCAGCAATTACTGGACATATTGATTTTTGATAATAAGATTGAGAGGGTTCTTGCGGGTCCAGAAGGTGTTTGTTATAGGGCTGTAAGGAAAGGATTTAGGGAGGAACAGGAAGGTGGCCCATTTAGTGCCTTGACGGATGTTCCGTGTGGACACTGTCCGGTTGCCGATCTGTGTGAAGAGGGTGGGCCTGTAGGACCAAGTACTTGCGAATACTTTCAAACATGGTTGAATATTTAGGGCGAAAATGGTTATTTGGGATAGGATTCTATTACATAGCATAGCGACGGCCGGCTTTGGAGTTCAGGAGAGATACCACATATGGGAAGCATCAAAATTCAGACCTCTAATCACATAGGTAGAAATCACATTCAAAAAGACAGAACTGTTTAGTAAAATCCGATGCATTACTTTTCGTCATTCATTCCGCCAGATAGCTAATCATAATGAAGATTACCGAACGATGTCGGGCTCAAAAACCACCTGCCACCGATACACTCGCTAGTAAATGCATTTATAGCTCTCCGGACTTGACAATGGTTGGCTTCTTGTTGTATTGAACCTTTCCACTGCCGGATCCGGTGGCCTCGAGAGCCTTGACAATCTTCAAGGACTCCTCATCGGCGACCTCACCGAAGACGACGTGCTTGCCATCCAACCAGCTGGTAACAACGGTGGTAACGAAGAATTGGGAGCCGTTGCTATGTAGCTGTTAGTTGATTGAACTATTGTGAATGCTCGGACGAGATTTGTAAACTTATGGTGTTTGGTCCAGCGTTGGCCATGGAGAGGAGACCTGGACGGGTGTGCTTTCGCTCGAAGTTCTCATCGGCGAACTTCTCACCGTAGATTGACTTTCCACCGGTACCCTGTATTATTCTTAGCTTCGCGTTTGGTAAAATATTTTGATCGAGTATTTGTAACGTACGTTGCCACGGGTGAAGTCACCTCCTTGAAGCATGAATTGAGGAATGATTCTGTGGAAGGAAGAACCCTGATATCCGAAACCCTTCTCACCAGTGCAGAGAGCACGGAAGTTCTCGGCGGTCTTTGGGACTACATCATCATAAAGGTTGAACTTGATTCTTCCAGATTGCTCTGTGATAAGGAAGGTATATGTCAGCTCCGGAAACCAAGAGGGGAAGTGGAAGGTGGGGCAAAGATGACGACAATCAAAAACAACAAAATGTGTCTTTAGAGCTCAACAAGAGCTCAATTGGCGCAATAACAGATGCGCAGAATCATGTTGTGATGAATGGAGGTTGAGGTTATAATGAAGTTGATACAAAATGGATCGATGAGATGGTGATTGCATCACTTACCTTGGATAGTAGTGGTAGCCTTTCCGGAAGCGTCAAGGACTGGACCCTCCCAGGTAACATCGAAGTAACTATTAATATGTGAGCTTCCATGAAGTTACATTGATGAAGTTTTGATGCAAGAACGTACGTTGAAATGGTCATATTTGATTTAGTTGCGTGAAATTGTCTTGAAGAGATGGAGTTGAAAGAGTTGTTGATGAAGGTGTTGCGAAGGAGGGGCAGCGAAGTGCTTTTCAACGCAGAAGCAGTGCGGGGCACGAATAGCATTTTTAGCGAAGTTGTCAGGAGCTCCCTAATTGGTTGGATTAGTTTTCTGGTGGGGCAGGGTAAAAAAGGTGAATATGAGGCGTTGCGTGGGAATGTGTGTGAGGGACGTAAGGCAAGGGAAGGGAGGTAAGGTGGTAGGTAGCAGTCGCCGTAGCACGAATGATCGCAATTGGAGCAAGTGAGAGAGTGAGGGTGAGCGTACTAATACCACCAAAGCAAATCAAGAAAAGCAGGTGAATTGTTGCGGGATATTCTTCGGGTTGTGCGTGGTGAATGGAAAGGATTGGTTGGAATGAATGGAAGGGAAAGAGAAGGAAACGATCGGAAGGAGGGGGAAAAGAAAACAAGTAATGCAGGTGGGGTAGGGTGAGCTCAGCAGAGGTACTAGGTAGGTAGGGATATGAGTTTACTATTATTGATGATTTTACTCAGACTGGTAGTCGATACATATCTAGCTATTACATCCGATGTATATATACGATATTAAACACCCAGTAGGTACTAGGTAGATACATAGATGTATATCAACAGAGATAGGCGATTTTAAGACGACTAGTCATTCAAGAAGTTGGTCTTCAAAACAAGAACGTCTTTCTGATTTCTTTCTACGATACACCTCTACTTCTTCATTCTAAACCTACCTCTCTAACTACAGTCATCCTTTCCAAAGGGTAATCATTGAGGTTAATCTTGGTCCCCGTTAAAGTATCGCCAGGTACATATTAAATGTCCCGGGACGTATAACAACCTAGACGAAAGAGTCGCCTCTCATAGCCACTTTTCAGATGCATCATATCATCATCAAATCCATATTCATCGGCGTTTTGCAGCTGCTGGAAATATAGGGTCTAGATGATCCAAACTTGCTCGGTCGACTAGTATTGGGGTCAATTTGGAATGTACCATTGCGGAAAATCCAATCAGGAGACGCCGCGCATTTAGTTGAGAGTGACATGACGCCTTCATCTATTCTTTTCTCGGCTGGAGGGGAGGCAAAAACCGCAGCACACAAGAGGCGGGAAGCGGGTTACTTTGCAAACTCAATGACCCAATGCCCCAATCATTCAAAAGCGTGCAATGGAATACGAAAGATGGGCTTGACCTGCAGGTCTCACAGACTCTCACTCCTGCAAGTTTGCTCGGGGTATCTCAGCGACGTACCTTATTTGGTTTGGTGAAGGATGCTTGTTTTTATACCGAAGAAAACACGGTCAGATGCAATTGATCGGAGGAGGGGGAGGGGTGGGGGAGGAAACAGAAGATTGGCGAATACTACACCGATTGTACCACGTCGTCGCAGTCTATGGATGATTTCCTCGAGTAGAACGTAACCTCTGAAGATATCTTCAACTTCTTATTTTTCCCTTGTAGCGAATTTCCCCCGACTGATGAAATAAGAGCAAGGGTCCTTCACCGCCTCCTTACGTACTTCTGCCATGATTCTTCGGCATCAGTACAATCATTACTTTCGTAGAGCCATTAGACAATCAGGTCTTGAAATAGAGATGGAAGTGTTGAAAACATCAAGTAAATGATAGAGGTAGATAGATGCTATCCAAACTGCCCGTCACACAGCCAAAAGATCGTTTATCAGATTTTTGTTAGAAGATGTTTCTATCAACTTGGACATGTATCACGTGACCAAATATCCCTTCCAAGGTTAGTGTCAACTTAGCTTACGATCGGCCGCCGTTCTAGGACACATGGGACTTCTGCATCTCCATACAGTATCCAGATAATTTCCCCCGCGTCTATAACTCCATATCATCAATTAATTCCATTAATTCGATTAAACGACTCCAGCCATGGATCTTGCCAGTTTGAAGGAGGCCGCGTCCAATTTGACGTTGTACGATTTGAAGGCGGGTGTGCGCAAAGTACAAAATGGTAAGGGCTCAGTGTAGACAGCTGGCTGAGTCGACCATCTACTAACAATCATGTAGCCGTGATGAATTATACTGAGATGGAGGCCAAAGTGAGAGAGGCTACCAACAATGAGCCCTGGGGTGCAAGTTCTTCATGTTAGTCGCAAGATCTGTTCATCTCGAATGCCGAAACTGTCAATCCTAATATCGTATTACAGTAATGCAGGAGATCGCCAATGGCACATATAACTAGTAAGTCAATTCGATCCAAAAGCAACTTCGCACACTAATCCAGCTCTAGCCAACTACTCAATGAGATTATGCCTATGATTTACAAGAGATTTACAGAGAAAGCTGCCGAGGAATGGAGACAAATATACAAAGGATTACAGTTACTTGAGTTCTTAATCAAAAATGGCTCGGAGCGGGTCATTGATGATGCGCGATCACATTTGACACTTCTCAAGATGTTGCGCCAATTTCACTTCATCGATCAGAATGGCAAAGATCAAGGTGTAAATGTTAGAAACAGAGCGAAGGAGTTGGCTGAATTACTCAGTGATGTCGATCGGATTCGGGCGGAACGAAAGAAAGCACGAGCTACTCGAAACAAATATACTGGAGTTGAAGGTGGAGCAGGATTAGGTGGTGGAATGTCCAGCTCCAGTAGATACGGAGGATTCGGGAGTGAGGAACAAGGTGGTTATGGCGGATATAGTGGAGGTGTATATGGAGATGGTGGTGGATTTGGCGGCCAGACTAGTGATTTCCAAGATTCCGGGAATCAAGGTGATTTTGGTGGCAGTAGTAGCCGCAGAGACAAGTTTGAGGAATATGATGAATATGACGAGGGTGCGGCTCCTTCATCGTCACGAAGACAGGCCGAAAGCTCTTCAGCATCATCCAATCGCAAAAGAGCTGGAACCGAGCGATCGACGAAGAAGGTTGAGCCTCCAAAGAAGAAGGAACCAGAAGTCGACTTATTCTCGTTCGATGATCCAATACCGGTATCTACACCGGCAGTTGCGCCTGCAGCATCGAATGCTTTGGCCGATGATGATGACTTCGATGATTTCCAGTCTGCGACACCCGCACAACCAGTCGCGCCGGCGGCATTCTCCCCAGTCTTACAGCGTTCCGCCACTACGACTAGTAATACACAATATGCCGCACCTCAACCAGTCTCGGCACCAAAAGCTGCAAATTTGAGTGATCTAGTTGGGTTCTCTTCAATTTCACCAGCAACAAGTACCAACAATACCCCAGCCAATTATTCTGCATTTTCTCCGCCTGCAATGGCCCAACAGCCACGCCCAGTTCAGACAGGTTACCAAAGTACACAACCGAATTACTTTACATCCGTTCAAGCCCCCAACACACAAACAAATCCTATGTCGGCAACATCCTCTGCCAAATCACCTGCAGCTGCCAAGTCGTCTGGAGGAGATGCTTTTGGATCCTTATGGTCTAGTGCCAGTGCTGGTATCAAGAAGGCTAGCACTCCCACAACTTCAGGTCCAGCTTTAGGACAACTGGCTAAGGAGAAAGCAAGTGCTGGTATTTGGGGTGCTCCATCAGCAGGATCAGCCCCTCCACAAACTTCACAACAAAAACTGGGAGGGGGATTAGATGATTTATTGGGTTGAAGAATTTTTCATGTGTAAGGATGAGGCTATTTCTGCGGAGGAGCACATATGGTTAGTAGGTATGCGGACGGGCGTTAGTAGATACGATAATTAGGCGCAAAAAATTTAAATCAGATTTCCATTCATTGTTCTTTGGCCTTGGCGAGATGCATTACTGTTCAAACTAGAATTCTGTCACGCCATGATTCCGGTTTGTTATACAAGTGTACTCGACTATGGTTAAGTCAAATGAAAACTTTAGACTAAAGTCTCACTCAGATTCTGGGTTGCTCTTAACACAACATATAAATGTGGAATTAAGATATAGCGGTTAATTAACCTTAATAATATTCCTACTTGTCATCGGGAGATTGATTTTCTAGCTGAAGTTGAAGGAGGATCAGAATGCCTGTTTGTACCTTTGCTCGTGTTCAAGCTTACGGGAGATAATGGGAGGCTAACTTTGGACCCCAACTCCGGAAGTGGATGTCAAGGATCCTTTCGCAATCTTTATTGATCCTGCCAATTCGAGAATCTGTCATCCAGTGGACATTCTTTTTTGGCTTTGTAATTTGCTCCAGGACAATATCAAGCAAATGTTTCGAGAAGAAACTGTTTTACCTTGCAACTAATTCGTATCTTCACTGTCGGAATATAGCGACGCGCTTATCGATATACCCACCCTCTCTAATTACCTGCCCCTCGTTGGTCTATCTTACCTGCTTTTACTCGGCAGTGGTAGAAACAAAAGAAATCTGATCGATATTTGGCCTCCAACGAACAAGAATACAGGCTTGGACGCATTCACCTGTAAAACTTGGAGCAGTGCGCATATAGTTTGATCACGTTACTTACCCATTGCACGTTGGCTTTACAAGGTGTGATATATAACCTTGTACAATATAATCCATACACTACAACCATTTTTCTCGTTCTTGGAATTCACCTTTTACTCGACAATGCAAGAAGAGAGGGTGGGAATGTATCTCGAGAATGAACCAAAGCTTATGCCAGTCGGCACACTACTGCAAAATTATATTGATAAGCTACAATCAGCAGGCAATTATTCCTTGGGTGCGAATGTCGAAGATCTCATGAAAGAAATCGAATTGCTTGAAACCTATTATCCATCGAATAATGACTCAAAATGCTTCAGTCAAAGAATCTCCCCTTTAATAGACTTCCTTACCATGTGTGGACCGGCTGTTGATATGATGATTCAATGTTATCCTGCTCCGTCTGCGTTAGTGTGGAGTGCAACGAAAGCTTTATTAGAGGTAAGCATGTATACATTTCGATTTACCGGGAATCAGTGCTAAATATCAATTAGATTGGACGCACCTCGATTCGTTACTTTCAATTGGTTTCGAGGATCGTATTGAAAATAACCGATATCGTGGACATCTCTATCCATTATGAAGTCATCTTTGGGAGCGAGCCCCGAGTATCCAGTGCTCTTGCGGATGTGTATTTCGAGATCCTTGTTTTCTTAATAACTGTTCGCTCAGCATTATCCAGAGAGAGTAGGTTGCCTTACATCTATAGCCCGCAAAGATGTCGACTGACCAGTCTAAGCATTTAAGCTTGAACGCGCAGTTCTAAAATCTCTCGACGCGGAGTTCACTAACCACGTTCAACGGCTTTCCAAAGCCACCCAAACATTATCTCAGGAAGCCATGCTTGCATATGCACAGTATACGGAATTTTACGCCGTGAAGCAGCCCCAGATCAGCGAAAATGGCGTCGTGGAAATCTCGTTTCCTCCAGAGAACCAGGGTCGGTAGAGTCCACTTGATGATTCATGACAACTACCGAGATTAATGCTGATGAATAATCCAGATGCAGATATTAGAGCACAAGTAATGACTTGGTTATATCCAGGCGAATA